GCTCAGTCACCGGCATCGTGGCCTCTTGCCCATCTAGCCCTTCAAGAAGCCGGGGGGAGTGGGGGAGAGTGAATTGTTGGATTTCAGAGATGACCTGTGCCTCTTTAAGAAAGGGGATGGTGCTTGCCAACTTGAAAAATGTGTGGGTGCCTCCCACTCAAAAAGTCTGTTTTTCAATTCTGGCATGTTAGCTGACTGCCACCCAGCTTCCAACCTCCCCTTTTTAGGAAAGGTTTTGGAGAAACTGGTTGGGCTGCAGGAGGAAACAGATTATGTGTCATAGGACTTTAAGCTCACTCCCATGTTATTTAACATCTGTATGAAACTTCAGGGGCAGGAATGTCTGTGGCAAAACAGCAGGCATGCCTGGGCAATCAGAGCCCTGCCCCTTCTGAATATGTTTCGCACACATCAAACACATGTAAAAAGGAGCAGGGCTTCAATTACCAGGTAACACCTCCCATTTTAACATTATTGACATCCCCTCCCCCCCATGGATGCCCCTGGTTTGGGGTGAAGTTTAATCAATATGCATTTGATCCCTAGTCATACATCTCCTTCTTGATTCTGGTAGGAAATACTGTGGACATTCCAACCTGCTGTCTGAAGGCTGTTACGACATGGATAAGACAAAACAGGCTAAAATTGAATCTCACCAAGACAGTGTGTCTGTCCAGAAACTGGCTGGGTTTCTGGTAGCCTCTATGTAAATTAAGGATAGGTTCATTTCCCCTGAAGAAGATCTGTAACTTGGGGGTCCTCCTGGACTCATGTCTCCAGCTAGAACAGCAGTCATGGCTGGGAGGTCCTTTGCCCGCTTTTTGGAGCAGGTAACTCATAGCCACCTACATTACTCTGAAGCTGGACTATTGTAATGCATGGTGCTTAGGACTGCCCTTGAACACTACTTGGAAACTTCAACTGAAGCAAAATGCAGCCGCCCATAAGCTTGTGGGTTAGTGTTACACCAATATTACAGGTGCTGCATTGGTTGCCAGACTGTTTCCAGATACAATTCAAGGTGGTGGTTAATATCTATAAAGCCCTACATGGCTTAGGCCTAGAGGTCTGTCTGCTCCAGAAGGAATCTATCCATCCTATTGGATCTACCATGAATGGATGCTCTGAGTTTCCCCATCAAACAAATCAAAGAGAGGTGAATCTGGAAATAGGCCATTTAAATAGCTGCTCCATCCCTGTGGATTTTGCTTTCTATTGAAAACTCTTCAGTCTAAATACTCCTATCTTTTCATAGAGTAGCTGAAACTTTAAGATAACTTTTGGAGATTAAAAGCCGCACTACAGATTGTTTTTAACCATTGGATATTTTTGTCATTTCTTGTTTTATATTATTGTTATATTTACGTTACAATAACTATTGTATTTTATGAGTATTTATTTGGATGCTAGTCATTAGGAATCTCTGGAGCTGATATTACTATATAAATATTAGTAAATAAGCAATAAATTAGTAAATAAGTAAATAATAAATACATGTCAAGGTAATTATTACTGGAAAAAAATCTCATCTTCCTTTTGCATAAATATAGCATATAAACATAGTATATAAAAAGAATCAGGAAGAGCAAAGGATGAAAGTACAACAGCGACATTTGCAAAAATGTGACATGCAACAAAACAGTGCAGCATGAAATACTCCTATTTAAATACTCCTGTTTTGTCTTATCCATGTCATAAACAGCTACCCTTTTTTCTAAGATTCTCTATTCTGTTCATACTGCCAATATTCTATCTCTTCCCCTCATTCCCTGCCACTCAGCATGTTCCAAGGTTATCTTCGGGCATTCCTAATTTAGATTCTCCTCCTCATTTTTTAATAGTTCTGCAAAACATGGAAGCTCCTCCAAAGCCTGTTGATAACTCCTATGCACAGATATAGTCATTTCTTGACTATAACAATGCATACTATGAAAATGACTGAACTACTAGTATAATTAGGAAACAGTAAATACTTACCCATCTGACACTGGTACATGTTTCTTGGACTTTGGTTGTGATCAGAGAAAGGAATGAAACTTGCCACCACGCTTAGCATGCTAGAGGGGAAAAGCTCCTGGTGAGTGGTCAACCCAGGTTCAATTTCATCCTTGGACACTGCAATGTTCATGAATACCTAAGGGAAGCCCAATTTATATCACTTTCAAGAGCTATCAAACCCACTGAACCTCTTCTAGTTCCAATTCCTATTATTACAAGAATAATCATTCTGCAAAGCTAAACCAGTAAATTTTAACAGTGCACTGCAGAAAAATTCAGTATTAACATGTAAAATCCAAAAGGCCATTGTTTTCAACCCTCTTGATATCAGAGTTTAACATTCACGATAATAGCATCACACATCTCATATTTTTCTTCCCAGAAGCATATTCTCCAAGCTAAAATATCCTGTCTTTAGAGTGAAAAAATTATAAATGGCAGCAATCAGAATTAATGGCCTTAGATATTACAGCCAATATGCCTTGGACAAAATCCAAGGGCCTCATTAATGATGCTGTTATCAATTGCATTTCTGTAATGATTTGTTCTAAAAAATCCCAGAAAATTGCAAGGAAAACATTGGGAGCTGCTCAGTATTATGTATACTGAATGACCCAGCTCTGCAGGGGTTCAGGCAAGGGTACTTTTTCAGCCTGAATGGAGAACTGGGGGGAACAACGGAACACTTTGCATGCAAAACTTGCTTTATTCTTGAGCTAGTGATCTTTGAAAACATAGAAATCTAAGACTAAGTGAGCACATTGGTCTGTTACTTACTGTTTGAAGCGCCCACTTACTAATCATAAGAAAAAAGGTTCAACTACCCAACTAGGCTATTACTGATCAAATACACCAGTGATAAGAAACACACTTCCAGGATCTCCCCAACACTCCCAAATAGCAGTCTACATATTCCCCAAATTAAATAATTAAAAAAAAACCCCAAAGCTCACAACACCACCAAATTGTTCAACAAATTTTGCATGCTTTCAGGCAGAAACTGCAAAAGCTTGTAACATTTATGGGAAAAAAATGCAAGAGGTGAAGCTGTCAAGATCTTGCAAGATTTGGCCATCTTACAAGATTTTGGCCACTTTTAATTTATTTTTGTTTTGGTGCCCCGTCAAGTCCTGAGAGGCTGGCAAGGTCAGGAAACAAGAACCACTAGGATTTCTGGAAATATCTTTATTGCTAATAGGGTCATGTAGGAGAATTCTGAAAGCACACCAAAGTCATTCTCCCACACAACTAATACCTAGTATAATTTAGGCAGAGCTATTCTGGGTCTCTTTCTCACCCCTCCCACCTCAGAGAAGCAAGAATTGCTTCTGTAACAGCCCTGTTTCCTCCTTTAACTCGTCTGTCCTGCCAGGGTCTGGAAGGCATTCCATTACACCTCTAAACATGATGTCAGATCACAGGATCTGAAATATAATACAGTAATGTCTTGGATTAGCTGATGCTTTATTACAAATATTAGGGAGTGTTACCTGTTCCATTGTGCCAATCCATTCTTCTTTCCCCAAAGCCAGGTTTTGTACAGGACGCATCATTCTACAAGGGGTAGTGAAAATAAAAAGTCCTGGGTAGAGACTGGGTTTTCCTGTCATTGGAATAAGGACCACTTCTGTCCAACTTGGAATTTTCTTTTCTTGCGTTGCCTGTTAGCAGAGATCAAGACTCAAAATGATTTATTTTTATATCCTTCAGCAGAGAGAAGAAATAGCTAGTCTTTAAACTAATTCACAAGGTAATAATGATAAGCCTTGTAGGATCAAGATTTAAAGAACATTAAAAGAGAGGGAGATAAAGAGGCTTCATCAAAAGCTATGACTTTTGAAAGAGGCAGAGATGCAGCTGGAAAACCATCTAATTCTGTATGACAATCATGGATGCCAATCACCCAATCATTGAAATGCCACAATTTTCCAAGAGTATGGAGCTGAGATATACACTGCAGCTAAGCAAAGAAGACTCACCTTGAAGTGCCTGAAAGTCTCCACAAGATCAGGAGCCTGATCCTTCTCTATCCAGCCCACTAGAGCTCCATCTAATGTAACTGGATAACATTCAGCGTAAGGTTGGCTTGGTACACCATCAACTGGAGTGACACCTATGGAAACAGTTGCATGGCAATGGTTAACATGTTATCATGAACAGCTGTACACATTCCCCAGGAAGTTAGTGAAGTCCATATTTTGACTGGTATTCTCCTAAAATTCCCCCAGCATGGCCATTAGGTAAAAGACACAGATGGGATTTGCTTTGATCAAGAAACCCTTATTATGGATGAAAGTGTCGATACAAGTGTATGGAAGACAATGGTAAAATTTCTCTTTAGTGTAAAAGATTGGGAAATCTGAAAACCAGTGAAAGCCATAAAAATGTTGTGTTTGAACCTAATGTATTCAAAACCCCAATTTAACCACAAACACACTAAACAAGCTGGAGAAAAGCTCATTATCTGCCTCATCTCCTCCTCTGAAAAAGAATTAATGACTTATTTCATAGGTAAGCTTCAGAAAGAATGTAATATCTAAGTCATGCCGCTTCAGGGATTGTCTTTTCCCATGCCAATTTACCCATGTTTAAAGACTGGCTGCTATAGATCACTTATACAATGTCAAGACTTTCTGAGATTCACCTGATAGCCAGATTCCAATATGTGGAGCTCTTTGACCCCAAAACTTAAAAAAAAACTTCTTTATTGATGTTTTTCTTGCAAGTGAAAAATATTTTTCCAGCAAGATTTTAAGTTGAACAGCAACAGACATCTGTTACCTAGCTCCTAGAGGGGCTTTTTCCATTATGTTACTATCTACTTAATGCTATTTCTTTAAAGCACATTTCCTTAGTATTCAGCCAAAAAGCTCCCAGAATGGCTTATAAATATAAACAGTGAGACAAGATCTATCCTCAGGTTTACTATCTAAAGGGCATAATAAACATAATAAAAGGGAAGGATGAGGAAACACAGAAGCTCAAACACCAGTTCTTAAAAGTTATAACTAAATTACATAAATTAATCATTTACTTAGGAAGGAATGGAGTAGAAATTTATTACAATGGGAAAAGTTTCAATTAGCAATAATCGCGCCTCGGATAAACCTCATTGGCTACGATACTGCCACTGCGCAAAGTACATAGAAATGAAACACTGGACTGCTACAAGTTTAAGATCCTATTGCTAATAACAAATAGTCAGATATTAGATATTAAAAGAGGAAAGGCCTCTGATAAATACCATCAGTGATCAGTAAACACATGTTTGAGATTGTAGGTGAATGTATGAAAAATGCTTGTGCTTCTGGTCTACCTAGCTCTGTGTGGCTGTCTCCAGGAAGCCCACTGTCTCTCCCATCATCTTCTACTTGATTCTTTTAAATAGGGATGGATGACCGTGCATTCATTCTCAGTATGTTCTTTCTCATTCCAGTTTCATTTTGGCTTGCTTCCACATGTTTTGTGGGTTTTTTTTAAAGTTTGCACAATAATTCATAGACTTTTCTCCAACTATATACTTTTGTCTACACTCTCCCTAAATTCATATTGTTTGTAAACAATTTTTCTCAACATGAAGAAAGTTGAGAGCAAACGGTGCACATTTTTGTGCACCCTTTGCCTCTAATTTAAATCACAAACTGCATTACAAAAGTGTGAAAAGCATCTATTTTGGTGCAATTCCATTCCATTTTGAGGAGTATGAATTACGTAAGTTCACATAAAAATATGTATCAAATTAATTTCTCTCCCAACATTATTTTTAACTACATAGGCCAGAGATAATATGCTTGCAAATAGGGCTCTGCAAATCCTTCAGAATAATTGCTGTGGAATGTGTGCAAGTGCACAAGAAGTACTTCTTTCTGAATTGTTATGGGAGTTGTGCCAGACTCACACGGCTACTTTGGCTGCTCCTGGTTGTCCCTGCATGATCCACAGGATGGTTCTATAATACTGTTAAAATGCAGTTGTAATTTATGAGGAAAGACTGTTGGAGTATTGCTATTGATCTGAGGACTCTGATACATCTTCCAGAGAATTTTAAGAACCTTCAAATCCAGTGAAAAAACCACTGCTTTATAAACATTTCTACATGCACAGAAATTATACCTCTGCAAGAGTAATCATCCCAATTTGAGACTGGCTTTCCATAAAAGCATTCTTCTGACCATTCCAAATGATTAACACTCACCTAAAGAGCAAAGCAATGGTAGCAGAGATACAGCGTGGAAAGTCTGGGTTACAATTTCACAGGGGGCTGTCATATGGTTCATCAAGCCACAAGGCTCGCCATCTGGTGTGTGGACAGGACAGAGAAAGCCCCAGGACTCTGGCAACAGCTTGCGCACCGTTGTGGTTCTCATCTTAAGAAAAGCAGCTCCTCTGTGCACGCAGCGGAAGTGGGAGAGGTAGCGGAAGAAATTCAGCTTGTCTGCTATCACACACAGACCTGACCCCTGCAGCATGCCCAAACCTTGGAAAGTAGAAAGGGGGGGGAGGGGAGGAAGAAATAGAAATCTGATTTCCAATTCTGTACTTAGAGCAGTTGTTTGCCAAACACTCAGCTCTAGCTGCATTTGTATTTCTGACTTGGCAAGTGTTAGAACTTCAGATTTTAGACAGGAGAGATCAAAACACTCAGGATTCAAGCAGTCGGAAAAGAGCAAGAACTCTTGTAGGCATTGTATGGATTCCCTGATCTCCTTTTTGAATGTGTTTTTTTGACTCTGTGTTGCTGACTGGTCACAGAAATATAATTTCAGAAGAGGCCTAGCTAAAAAGAGGCCCCAAAACACAACCACAGTCACACACAGAAAAAAGCCTCTGCATTTTGAAATATGACAAACAAAACCCAAATATTTAAGCTCATGATATGGGTTTTATATATACTCCATATATACTATATACTCCATCCTAAGAAAACTTAAAATTCCGCATTCAAGTCATCAAAATTTGGGAACAAAATATCAGTTCTGTGCTCTTATCACGCGCATTCACAGAACTGTATGATTTTTCTTATTCTCGTTCTGCGTTATTTGACTGTTTTTTCTAGATAGAAGGGGAAAAGCTAGAGAACATGGAAATCTCACCACAAACATCTACCCACCCATAGTGCCTTGAAACAAGGCAGAGGACAAAATCATGTTAAACAAGCTGTGGATTTCACTCTTCATAGCTTGCTGACTGCAGCTACTCATGGGAAGAGTGAGGCATGATAAGGAGCGCACTGTTTCTGTGCTCTTAAGCCATATTAAGATTCAGTGGGACATGTGAACAAGTTGACTAGGCTTTGCTTGTGATTTGCACAAAAATGCCTACAGAGAACTAGCAGAAATACACACAACGAATGTGCTGCACTTGACATATGAAGCTACAACTACTTTCTTCAAGAAGTTGCATCTTTTCCTGGTAGTGCATGGTAGCCAAGTACCTTCTTAATTGAAACAAGTATTTTCTTGGGATTATGCAGCTACTTTATGATTTCTAAGAGTCAACACCTACTTGATGGCACATAATCGATCAATCAATACAAAACCAGGAGAAGATGCTTTTTTAAGAAGTCACCAGGAGGTGCAGCATATGTGCACAACATCCCTAATAGACTATGGGAAAATTCTAGCAATGTCTCTGCTGAGCTGGAAATGTTTGTTTTGGCAATTTTGCAATTTACATCACTGGGTTAAATGGAGAAATGAAGTTAAGAATTCAGTATAACTGTTATGAACTATGACTGCAACCTCTGTTATTAGGCTGGAGCAGGGGAGACTCAGCACAGTATACATTACCAAAAAAATGAAAGTTATTCTTTTCTGAAAATGCCTTTTCATACAACTCTGGACTTGTGCAGCACATCTAATTTTATTCAATAATTCAGTTAAGTATTTCCAGACCCCTTAGAGGTGTAATACTGTACCAATTTAGCTAGAAGTAAAGCCAGATGCATAATTAGGTTGCAGACAATCCTACCTGTCTTTGAGCGCAGATTACCAGTTGCCAGGAGATATTCAAGCATCCTGGTAAGATCCACTCCCATGCCAAGAATCTTTATCATGTTTTCTGGAGTAATTGTTATATTTGATTTCTGAGCTTTCTTGTCTAAGGCTAGTTTAACAGACTGTAGCCAAGTTTCCATCTTCTCCTGAAAGACAGGATGAAAATAAGACAAAGGGGCTTAAACGCCTACTGTGTTACCACAGGGGTGCATACAAATAAATGGCAATTTCAATAAATATGGTCAAGTATACGTATTTAAGGCTAGACTACAAGAGGCATTAAGTAAATTAAGAAAATTTAAAAACATCTATTAACAGTAATTTAGTCACTTAATATATCTGAAATGTAGGGTCAAAACATGCTTTGACTGAACCCAAACAGGCATTTGTAAGTTTCTGGGACTCAACTTTCTTGGCTGCTCAACTTCCTTGGGTGTTGCCATTTTGTCACTGGCTTGTAGCAAATTAATCCATGGCTTAATGCTACATACAAAACACCAGTGGGGTTGGCAGCAAGCCAAGGATGGCGTTGCAGCACTAAAGGGCAGGAATGTAATACAAAGCCATGGATTCATCATGCCTACCAAGCAGGACTCCTTATACAAAGAAGAGGAAAGGTGCAGGTTCAACCCCGGAAAGAATTTGCATATTGACAGCTCCTAGACACTGTTCCAAGCAATGCTAAGGGAAATGTAGAAGGTGACATATGGCAACTAATGCAGCTTCCCAGGGTTTTAAAGAAATTTGGTGCCCACTTGAAACAAAGGCACTGGAATATTAAGGACTCTCTTGCTGTTTTATAAATCAGGAGTATCTGTACTAGTAAAGAAATCCTTGAATTATCCAATATAAATGCCATTCCTACGCCACTGCAATCAATCAGTGTCTCTGCTTTGTTGTTTAACTTTCTCCTTGTGAATCTGGATTGTTGACAAGAGTAATCTGGACTTTCATCTGTAAAAATGGAGAATGCAGAGCCTTCTGAAATCAGCACAAATATAGACTGACAGTTGAAGAATCTACAAAAATAGTCAAATAATCAGGCTCCCTCCTTGTGCTGATACCACATTTCCTGGCATAAGAGGCCACTAATCTTACTGAGGACTGATTCAATTTGTGGTCATTTCATCCAAGGAAACTAACCACTTTCATCTTCCATTAAATCTGGGGGGAAGCTGAAGATACAACAGTGGGATCAGAAAAGGGGTACTTGTGTGTGTCTCACAACATATATTGGGTGATTATTACATGGAAGACAATGGCTGGATTCATACATCATATAAAACCATAAATTGGGAGTGCAGCTCCCTGCAGCTCCCCTGCATCCCATTTGCACCCCAAGATCATGCCATCAAAATGGAGGAGCATAATTTGGTAGCATAATTTCAAGTGATTTTCAGATTTTAAGGACAGGAATGTGAGTGATTTACTTCCCAAAGACCTCCGGCTCCCATTTCAAACCTTACACTCACTTAAAATTTGGTAATCAAGAGGCTCAAAAGTTTCAGCCATGCCCTTGAGACAGTGTCACATCACAGATAGCCTTGTACAACTCTTCAAAAGACCAAAAGGTTGACTGTAGTTCCTGACTGACTGTAAACTATGGTTTACAAATAAAAATGGTGATTCAGACATGGTAATCCTAAAATCAAATGAATCACATTATGGCTTAACACAGTATGTGAATCCAGCCCTGGAGTTCTGTCTGTACACAGTGTATATACCCGTGTTTGTGTGTAAGAAGGAGGGAAACGGGGGGGGGGGAGGGGGATCAATGAGGGGGGGGGGGGGGGGGGGGGAGGGGATCAATTTTAAAATATTACCT